TGAGTATACCCTTGGTGTCTAGCACAAAGCCCAACCCATAACAAACACTTGTTGAATAAATGAATGAAAAAATGTATTCATTGATGATGACTGAGGCCCCTGTCCCAGTGCCCTAAAGAACGGAAGATCATATGTGAGTAAAAGTCAAAGCTGCTGGCTGGCCCCCGAGTACTTCCTGACTCAGAAGGGGACTCAGAAAGGGCAGGCCGACCTCTACCTGCTTTCTACCCAGGTTCAACTTCAGGCACACAAACATCACTTCCATCTCTTCCCTCCAAAGCACGTTCTTCAAATGTGCCTGAATAAGCCCAGACTTCAAATTTAACCTGATAGGAAATCCACAGTTATGAATCCCACAGTTATGAAATCTACAGTTGTAGAATAGATCACATCATAGTTAATAACTCAAATGGTTCATGACACAAATTATCAGGAAGTTCCGATTCTATTCCAAATGCAGTCTTGAAGATAGGGTAAGCCCTATGTCTATCTTTCTGTTAGTACCCATAGTCCACCTCAGATGCCAAAGACTGCACACACCAAGTAAGCCATGTCATGATCCTCTTGTACATAAAGACTTGGGAGTTGCGACACAATAATAGATTAAGTGCTAAAACATTTTTTCCAAGTTACTTAGGGCCATCTCATGGCTACGAAAACTGATTTATAACCTCCTTTTTGTTAGCATTGCCATAACAGCACATAGTAAGCAATGCTTTTGATTGTAATCAACTATCAGGAACAGAAAATTATATCATTTCTACAACTTCCTTTAAATACACACAATCTTATTTTCATCAAGTTTGCCCATTTTCTCTCAATCTTCTGTGTTCATCCATAGCTTCAAGCACTGGGGAGCCTCACAGAAACAATCACTGACGTTTTACTCAAGATTAATAAAGGCTCTGCCTAGGTAGTTACAGCAAACCCACACATGCTGGGTGGTTTGAAGTTCCTTGAAACCTGAAGTCCACTGAGTTGAGTTAGCAAACTTCCTCTGCTCCTTTTTAAACATCACTGAAAAAGTTGCAACACTTACATACCAGGTTCAGCCAAACTATGGATTCACAAAGAATTCGCATGGAAATCCATTAACTGGAAACACATCACTGAAATTGTGAACCATTTCTCCACCTACAGGTCTACTGCGTGGACCAACAGAGTTCTGCTGGTGCTGACTGTGAATCAAACCATGAAAACGGTGTTTACTTTTAACAGACTTAGGTGCAGAGCAGCCTGTTTGATCCAAAACCATCCATCCAGTGGGTCTTAGCCACTTTTTCCTTATTATAAGAGTTACCACATCCGGTAATAAATTATCATATATCCTATGGGTTATACTTTTACTTATGCCAAATAACATGTTCAATAAACTACTTTTTGCTTTAAAACTACTTTTCCTATGCTAAAGCCTTCTAGTTAACTTCAGCTAGTAACAAATAACTCAAAAAATCTAAAACCAACACAGAGTACTCGTTATTTGTTAATTCGCTATTAAAATGAGCCCTACTTTTTTTTTAAAACCAAATAGGCAACTTCTTAAATAGAGGTTTTTCATTTTAAATTGAAAAAGCATAAAAGAGTCAACCTGGCTTTCTGAATCATGACAAAGTGCCAAAGGTTCAAGCAGACACATGCACCCTTGTTCCACAAGGAACACCTGCATGCATGTTGTCTCTGTTTTGTTTTCATAGTGACAAGAACATTTGTAAACACATCTCAGGTAAAAGGAACCAGAGCCATCAAAAGACTCTGCTGGCTAATCTTTCAATGTAGCTAAACAGCATGATTTCATTATGTTATAATATGCACGTGGTAAACCCCTTTCACAATCCATGTTTAATGGAAATACAGAAATGTTTTATCTGTTTTCACGGTATTTTTCCAAAGGCCTCTATGTAGATGTAACCATTTAAAAATCAGTTAAATTTGAATCAGTTAACCATTTAAAAATCAGTTAAAATTTTAATTTTAATTTCAGTCATTAATATACTTACACTCCTAAAATTACCCCCAAATCAAATTCCACATCAATTTAATCATAAATAGCCATATATGAATATCAGCAATCTCTAATAAAACCAACCACATAAAATACAATCACTGTAACAGGAATACATATATATGTGTATGTGTGTGTCTGTGTGTATATATACATGTCAATAAGCAAATTCCGTTTTATACCTCACCTATGTTGAAAGCGGGAAACTCAGACAATTTTAAAAAGATTCACCATAGCAAGGTAACATATTTGTGTACACAGGAATGCACTGAAGGTTTCGAACCTAGTGGTCAGAAGGGATTATGACACTCGAAGCCCTCGCCATCATTAAGGGGAGGTTGGTAAATCCCTTTCACCTCAAAACACAAATGCACAGCTCCCCTCGTGACCCTGAGTATACCACAGTAATTTTGTCTTAACAATGGAAATGATACCCATTTCACTCATGGGGAGGGCATTTCTGTCTTAATCAACTATCTGGCCTATATCCTAAAAATCAAACCCAAACCCAATCTATGCATTACACAACTTACTTGATTAAAATTTTGCTTTGGCAATCTTATAAGGTGAAAAAACACAAGATATTTGTAAATCCTAATATATATGTAATATGTATAAAATATATATTATATAATATAAGTAAATGTTTAAAATAACTTGCTGCACTCAAGGCCAAACATCACCAAAGGCTACAATATCACTGGAGGAAATGATGCAAATAAAGTTAAATGGCCTTTTTGTAGGAAGACAGATCATTGCAAATTTAATTAAAATGTATCTTATTAATATTTCAAGTAATTTCTGGGCTTGATTACACCACTACCAAAAAAAAAAAAAAACTGTACTAAAAAGAAAAATCAATAGCCTTTGACCAGAGCTCCGAGTATACTAGGGGAAAAGAAAGAGTTCTCTTGTGAATTACCAACGTCTAGCCTTTGGGGGTAAGGGAGAATACCGATATTCATTTGGAGGTAAACTGAGTTATTTTTAAAATAGCAAAAAAAACGGGGGGAGGAAATCAGTTCAGATTTTCCATTGTAAGTGAAAGTACCGGAAACAAGCCTTTTTATGTTCATTTCAGGCCTAAGTAACTGTACAGAGAACAAGGCTTTCGCAATGTCAGTTGCACACACTGCTTCCTGTGTGAATTCTAAGCCATTACAGGTGTCCTAAGGCCTCCGGTGAAACCTATTATCAGAGGATTCCTCTGGTCCCCTCCCCGCAAAGCTACCCCTACAGCCCCGTACCCCGCATATATTACTGCCCATCTCCTCCAAGTGTCTTTATTAAGGACCCTATTTTTTCTCTACACTCTCCAGGTTCAAGTACCCTGGTTCAAGTTGCCCTCGGCGTGGCATGTAAAAGCTTTCTCATTAGAGAGGAGTAGTTCCTGCAGTCCTTTTTAGTTAGATGCTTTCAAGCCAGACAGGAGAGAAGCCACTTGAAGAAAACCTTCTTGCCTCTACAGCTTTTCCCCACTGGGACCACGTCCCCCCAAGAAGAACACCAGCGCACGCTTCCTGACCTTCTATATCCTCATCCGATTTGGGCTTGGAGGGTTGGGGTCGCAATTTCTCTGCTGCACTGGATGTGTTATGTAAGAGGGACAGAACGCGGGAGGCACATGCGTATAAAGCGCATCGATCTGTGATAACAGCTGAGGTGGCAGCGCTGAACTGGAGTCTCCCCCCCAATACGACAGACACCACACACACACACACACACACACACACACACACACACACACCACCCCTTCCCACCCACCCACCCACCTCCACAGCAATGTTTTCCTGTCTCACCCCTTCCAGCACCAGACGCACAGAATGGAAAGGCGGGGGGAGGGGTGAAAGGAGGTGAGAGGACCAGCAGCACATCTGCTAAGATAGCAGCCGGCAGAGCCGCCGCGGCAGAGAGCCCCTCGTTAACCCCCTTCCTGTGGGTGCACGACGTCATGGAACATTCCCGGAACGGGCCAACGTTCCACCCACTTCAGGGAACAGACATAAAGGCGCAGACCCAGCTCCCCACAGTGCACAGCCCAAACACATGTCCCTTCCCGGTCCCCAGGCAGACGCACAGACGAACATGCATGCAAACCGCCCCCACCGGTCTCCACGCGCCCCCGGCCAGCCTGCGCCGCCGGGAGCCGCTCTGTGGCCGGTGCACCCGCAAGGCGAGGGCGCCTCCGCCTGAACCTTCCATCGAGACAGTCCCCTCCTTCCTCGCTTCCTTCCTTCTCTCCTTCCTTCCTTCCTCGGCAGGAGAAAGGAGTCACTGAAATGCCAACTGCCAGTGCCTCCGCTGCGCTCTCTCGGCCGCAGGCCGGCGGCCCGGCCCTCGCGCCGCCCGCCCGCCCCCTACCCGCGCGGCGCGGCCGCGGCCCCCTCCCCCGCTACCTGGAGACTGGCGGCCGGCGGCCGCGGCAGCCGCAGCTGTAGCCCGGCGGTGCGCGCCGGTGCACGTCCCTCATTAGTAACCAGGCACATTCCAGCCTCCAGCTCTCCCGCGCGGCCCCCTCCCCCCAGGACATTACGCAAATCAGCCTCCCCTCTTCTGCATAGATTCTCGGCCAGGGTATTCCCCGCATTTCCCAACGCGCCGGACCCCCCTCGCGAGGTCTCCCCCCCATCCCCGCCCCCTCCGACCCTCACCCTTGGGAAACCGGGAAGCAGCCGGGGACGCGCGCCGGGAGGGGCGATGGAGTCCGGAGGAGGCTATTTCGGTATAAAGTGAAACAAGCTCCCCAACGCTACGGGAGGCAGGAAAAACACGGCGCCGAGGCCACTTACCGAGCCGAGGAACCTACATTTCTGCCGCTCTGTTTCCCAAATGCTCAGTCCGCCCTCCACGCGCCCCCGGGGTGTATGCAGCACCCCAAAGTCGAGACGTGTAGGACTGATGTCAACGAGCCATGAGACCCTTTAAGTTGCTCCAGGGTCCTGGGAGCCTCAACCTCCAAGACGCAACTTGGCCAAGACTTGTGCCACAGTGAACGGAGATGTTTTGGTGGAGACCCTCCTCCAGTAGAGAGACAGCGCTCCGCGGCGCCCCGCTCGCCTGCTCTCCACCCCCTCACCTCCAGCCCGCCTCCCGCCCGCCGCCCGCCTCCGGGCCGCAAGCCCCTCGGGCGGCTGTCAGATCTCGGCCGCCGCCGGGTGACAGGGGCGGGAAGAGGGCGCGACGCGGCGGCCCGAGACCGAGCGGGCGAGGGGGATCCTCGCAGCAGCAGCGGCAGCCGCTCACCTGGAAAGTCACCGCTGAGGAGGAGGAGGAGGAGGAGGAGGACGCAGAGGAGGAAGAGGGAGAGAAGGTGGGGGAGGAAACCCCCCTGGTGCCCTTGTTCTCGCTGCCGCGGCGGCCGCTCCTCGCCCAGGCTGAGCGTGTCTGGTGGGGGGTGTCTGGTAGCATTTCCTTAAGGACACAGGGAGGGCGGGCGCGGAGGGAGGGAAGAGATCCTGACCGCCTGCCCGGGCTCCTCTTCCCTTTATTTATTTTTCTGACACTGTACGGAGACGGGCCGGGGCAGGGGCCGCGGGGCTCGGGAGGGAGCCGAGAGGCCCGGGCCGCAGCAGTCCGCTTGTGGGAGCCGCGGCGGCCGCCTCCCCTCCCGGTCTGTGGACGCACCGGGTTATTCCTGGCAGCGCCTCCCCGAACAGAAGTTACTAGGAGGAGTGCGCGGCGAGGGCGGGCGGGGGGAGAGGCGGAGGGAGGGAGGGAGGAAGAGGGAGAGACTCAGCCAGCGACGTCATCGGATCCCCCAGCGCGTCCCAGGGAGGGAGGCTGAACCAGAAAAACCAGTCTGGAGCCGGCAAAGGAGAGAGGGATGTGCTGCTGTGCTCGGGGCGACAGGGGGGGGTGGGGGGGGAGGCGGCCCCGAGGACCGGGCCGGGCCTCGCCGCCGCCGCCGGGAGCGGGAAGATCGCGGCCGCGCTCCCGCTTGCCGGGATCCGGGAACTCCCTGGAGAGCGGGTTTCTACTTGTTCTGCAAAAAAACACTTGGGCGTCTCTAGGAGCCTGAGAATTTCCTTTAGGGCTGTGGAAACCTCCTCCTCCCCCCACCACCTATCTTCCTCACTTCCCTTATAATCATTCCCGGGCTTGATAACAAACGGAATTATATAATAATTAGTATTGTCATTATGATTTTCTCCGTGCACCTCTGATCCATTGCGTCTCCCTCGTCCCCGCCTCTACTCACGGTTATGTTATCAGTCAAGATAAACAAAATCTTACTGTAGGTAGCTCCTGGCAGCGTTTCTGGAGCTTTGCAAAGTGTTTTGACTAGCACTTTCCGTGCCCCTGTGGAAGCACGAACTTTTCTCGCGCTCGAAATGCTCCATTTGCCTTCCCTGGGGTCACTCACCAGGGCGCCCTGGGCGCACCCAGTCGGGCACTGCCGACCGCCCTCTCCAGAATATTCAAACCGATTTGGGCAGCGGCGCACAGAGCTACCGCCGGTTTCCTGGTGGGCCGTGCTGGGACCCGGGGGCGAGCCGCCTCCTGCAGTCTGCGCGCTCCTGTCTCCTCGGAAGGGACGCGGGTGAAATCACACCCAACGCGAGGAGAACGGGGCCGGAGGGCGGGGGAAGCCCAGGCGAGTGGGGGCCGGAGCTCTGGGCTTCCTCCCCAGCGACACCCGGGGGACACCGGGACTCCCTCGAGCCGTTACCCTGCTTGTGTGGACTCGTGTGAACCCTCGGGGATGGTTCCCAGAAGGCCGCGGCGGCCGGAGAACAGCGAGTGGCAGCCAGGCGGGGCTGGCGCGGGGAGCACCACCTCCGGGTGGTCTTCCCGCGGGGCAAGTACCGGGCGCCACCCTTCTCGGGAGTCGGAGCAGCCCGGCGGAGGCCAGCGAAACCCGGTGCCCCGGGCGCCGCGGGCCCCAGCGGCCCTACCCACCGCAGGCCGCGCCGCCGCCCTGCCAGGGGCGGAGTAAACAAGAGACGCAAGATTTGACCTGGCGCGACCCGGATTTCTGGCCGGGGTTCCCCCTGAGCAGGTGACTCCGTGGGAGGGGTGGAAATTAGCCTCTGGAATTCCGGGCCAAAGACATTAACTGTGGTTCTGCTTTTAAGGCAGGTATTTCACCAACTGAGGAATGCTTCGCGTCTCAAGTTTCAGGTTTCGCGGAAAAGGACCACATGCCGAGTATATCAAATATTCCCTTCCCTTTTCAATAAAAACGAACTCGTCAAAAGGGAGGCAGCCCCTTAAATGACAGTGAGAATCGCGCTGCTAGTTTCCTTTTTGTTTTGGTTTGTATTTCGTTTCGACCTGTGATCGGTGCATTTCTGCGCTCCCTATCCAAAGCCGACATTGCCGTCAAGGACGACTGCAGGTAAAGCGATGGGTACACGTTTTATGGATATTTTTTCCAAAGCGGAAAAATGTGAATAATGCGGAGTACGTTTCACTGTGTCCTTTTAGGTTGATCTCATTTAAATTCAGGGCCTACTTCTGCTTAACTGGCTCCTTTCATTGTATAAGTTCTTTATTATTCCGCCCTTCTTAACTTGATGCATTTAATAAAAGTTCCCCCAATCATCATCTTAAGTGTATGCCGTTGCATTCTTAAGCGTCCATTTAAAACGCAAAATGCGATTTTTGAATTTTTTTCACTCCCAAACCCACCTGCTACATACTCCCAAAGTCCATTTTATTTAATTGCTTAATAGAGAAGATTAAGCAGTTTCTTTAAGAATTCAATTTCCCTTCAGCACACACAGCAGCTGCCCAAGCTCCCACAAAGTAAGCAAAGGAAGTAGCAGGCAGCTTTGCTTCACTAGCACAAATGAATGTTGACATCTTAAATGCCTCTTTAAAAGACTAGATTGAATGTTGAAATGTGAATATTAGAATACTCAGGTACTTGAGCTACTAAAATGATTTTTTTAAAAAATCCAGTATACAGCTTTTTTGATGACCTGATCCTACCACCAAAGAGGACCCCCCTACAGACACTCTTTACTCAAAGTTGTATTCCCCTTACCTTGTTCCAAAATCATCAGGCTCGAAATAATATAACCTGAAGCGAGTTGATGCAGAAATAAAAATATTTGTGAGTATGCGTGAACTTGGTGACATCCCTCTACTGGGAAGAATTACTCTCTTTCAAGTAAATGCCTCCCCGCCTCCAGTCCCTAATGCTGCAGCATGTCTGTCCACTTGCTTACCTTCTAAGCATAACAGAGTCATAAAAGAACTCCTCTTCCCAGATATCCTCAGAAGACAAAACCAGCCTTGGTGAACTGTGCCCTGGGCCCAAGGAGGCTCTAAGGAAAGTTGGGCTGCGTGGGCAGAGCTGACCTCGCCTGGGCACCCAGAGGGTGCATCAACAACAATGAAGCAACTTCCTTTTTATTACTCATCTTTCCTATCAGTTCTCACTTCAAAGGAAGGAAAAATCTAGTAACCTTGGGAAAATAATTAATTTCCACATGGCAGTATAGCATTTTCTCAGTCGGAAATCACTTCAAAACTGAAAGCACCTTCATTCAAAAAAATATTTATCAAGTGCCTGCTGTGTGCTAAAGATACTTAGGATACATCAGTGAACAAATCCCCGATTTCCTGGAGCTTGCATACTAGTGGGGGGGGGGGGCGGGCCGGGAGTGGAGTAGAAACGGGATAGAAAACAAGTAAGAAATGAACCGTATGGCATTTGGAAAGTAAAAAGAGTTATGGGGAGGGGGACATGAAACAGGGTAAGAATGCCTGCGATGTGGAGTGTTGTGTTGCTGTATTAAATACAGAGGTCAGAATAGGACTTGTTGAGAAGTCACATTTCTGCCAAGGCCTGAAGGAAAGCACTGGTTCATGTACAAGGACAAGATTAAGGCTGCCTGAGTTATCTGGGAAGAAGGTCTTCTTTCCACTGGCGTTCCTCAACTAGGAGAAAAGATAATTTGGGACTCCTGCCACCACCCTGCAGAATGGCTGTCTGAAACAAAAATGAAACGGAGATAAGAAAATCCAGGAGAGATAGAAAGACTGAGCCAGGGTAACTTCATCTGAGCCTCAGGATCTTGCTGAGTTGAAATTTAGTCCTTTCAGTTGAGTCAATGAAGTCCCTTTAATCCTTCAGCTAGTTTAAATTGAGGAGGATTTAAATTGAGAGCACTGGAGATCATCTGGAGTGAAGGGCTTTGCAGGTAGAAGGAACAGCTAAGGTAAAGCTCTAAGGCCAGAGCAGGCCTGGCCTGTTTATAGACCTCAAGGGGAACAGTGTGGCTGGAAAGAGAATGCAACAGCCAGTGAAGGGAACAGCCTCCCAGGCCACCCGCTAAGGACTTTCCTCACTCAGGGAAAGGCTTGGTAAAGGACAGATTTACGGATTTTGCCACCCAGGTCCTCTGACTCTGAATCTTTGTGGGCCCAGCAATTTGCAGTTTTAACAGATACTGCGGTTGATTCTTAAGCATCCTAAAACTCAAAATCTACTGCCATCTAGCACGTAGGCTGACAGACCCCGCAGGACAACTGGGTACCTGGAAGCCTGTGTTCCCAATAGGTCTCATTCAGTTGCAAATTTCAATCCTCAATTTAAACTAGCTGAAGGATTAAAGGGACTTCATTGACTCAACTGAAAGGACTAAATTTCAACTCAGCAAGATCCTGAGGCTCAGATGAAGTTACCCTGGCTCAGTCTTTCTATCTCTCCTGGATTTTCTTATCTCCGTTTCATTTTTGTTTCAGACAGCCATTCTGCAGGGTGGTGGCAGGAGTCCCAAATTATCTTTTCTCCTAGTTGAGCAACGCCAGTGGAGAGAAGACCTTCTTCCCAGATAGCTCAGGCAGCCTTAATCTTGTCCTTGTACATAAGCCAATCACTGGACTAGGGGGATGGGATGGTCTGATTGGTCAGACCTAGGCCTGCAGGGTAGGCCTGGAGGAAAGGGCGGTTCCCAGCCAGAAAAAAGAGGAGCTGTGTCGGAGGGCGTGTCCAAAATAGCCCTTAAGTTTTTAGCCTTGGTTTCTCAATTAAATCTCTGTAATAAGTCCCTCCCTACAACTGTGCTAAATAAATGAACGGGCGTGCCCTGCCCACAAATAATATGTAGTACTAAAATACAGAACTATATATAAATATTAAAGGGCTTATCTGCTGCGGGATTCACCTGAATAAATGGAGCATAGCCTTGGGTCTTGGTAAAAAGGGGTGATTTAGAACTGCCCTTCTGATGGACCTCCCACTTGTTACTCATCCACAGTAGTTGGTATATAGAGAAAAATTAAGCAGAGTCATAATTTTCGTGGTGTGAAGAAGACTTAGGTCTCCAGAAATTAGTTGAGGAAAAGAATTTTGAAGGAAAATCTGCCTGTCTGTTAAATTGTTAATAGGATACAAGTCAAACACTCTAATGTAGACCAGGTTCTTTATTCCACTATAACCTTTTTTGATAGAGGAGTGGAGGGAGGGAGTGGTAAGGACCAGCCAGCCAGAGTCATACTTACGGAGATTCGAAGTGATATGTATTAGGACTTAATGATGAGGTGCTCATCCTCCTAGCTTTCTTAGGATGTGGGGGGGGGGGGGGGGCTCAAAGACACCCAACCAACTACATGTCACCTTTTACTCCCAGAACTTCTGTAGGTATATTCCAAAGACCACCCGTTGCATCATCTCTTGAAACGCTGATTTAAATGTCTGTGCTGCCCCCTAAACTTACAGAATCAGAATCCTCAAGATTAAGGCCTGGGAAACTCCATGGTGAAAAAGATACTTCCCGTGAGTGACTCCTGTTCTCATTAAAACTTGAGAAACATTGGTTTACACTTTGCCCCTAAGATTCCACTGGGGCTGACTGGCTGCCTGAGAACCCCCTGCTTTCTTCTCTATCCTATTTCTCAGGTTCCACCTGATCCCTTATTGGCCCTTTTTACTCTTCAAAGATATTCTTGTGATGGTTATTTTAACCAGATTCATCTGTGTAAAAATATGTTAGGAAAATGAAAGCTTCAGAGGAGTAGGGACAAAGGCATTCTGGAGCACAGAACTGGAAATTACAGAGGACAGAAGGATGAGGGAGAGGTAAGTTGGTGGGGATGAACAGGATGCAAACAAACCTCTGATACTTTTCTGATTTAGCTTTTTAGATTTTCTGGACTAGCTACATCCACAGTTTCTGAAAAGAAACTGCACATTTCAGCAGTCCAAGCTGCTAATGAAACTAGTTTCTTACATCCCAGAGAGTGAACTCAAGATATACCCATCTCAGGTCTTTCTCCTGAGGAAAACTAGTTCTCTGGTCTCTCGTGGAAAACCTTCTTAGAGTGAAGAACAAAAATCAGATTAGAAAAGAATCCGTAGTAGAAATAAGACTCTGTCCAGGATTGCGGAAGCTTGAACTGCTCCCTTAGACATAGGGGAACACGGGGTTACAACTCCATCATGAACAACTCAAGAGCCTCGCATTAGCCCATCCACCATCCTACTCTCTTCCATCATCCTCTCCCCACTCCAGAACGGAGTATAGTAGAAATTCCTCCACTTAGCAGTCGTTGCTTGAGGCTAAGCCTTTGAACTACTGAAATCTTCCATTACAATCCAAATATAAGTAGTGAGCTCTTAATATCCTAAGCTCTTAATAAGTCATTAACTTCTTCTGAGAGATTAGTTTATTAGATTGCTTTTCCAGAGTGACAGCTAGCTTAGGGCTCAAACTGATTTATCTCGACAAAGTATAAGATGGGGTGAGACAACGAGATCGAAAGCTTGGGCTGGACCTTGAAGGAGTGCACTGGAGGCCTAGGAACTGGACACAGACTGAAGAAGAAGGGTGTGGGAGGATGCAGTGAGAGACAGACAAAGGTGTTGGGCGCCAAACTGAGGATGCCTCCGCTCAGGGCCTGTGCACAGGGCACATAATGATCTAGGCTTCTTAGGAGCGAGCAGGTGGGTCTGCAGCTCCGAGTACAGGCCCTGGCTCTGACTCCGAACTAGCAGGAGACTTGCTTCCCCTCTGCAGGCCCCTCCACTTCCTCATCCAAAATACAATAGGATTCCTTATGGTAATGGACTCGGAAAATTAAACTGCTAACGATCCAGCAGGGTCAGGAAAAAAACAAAACGCGAAGGTAGGAAGAGAGGAGAGCAGAACGGAGCAAAAGAGGGTAGAGAGCTCATCAGGGACCTCCGTTTTCCCTCCCAAGCTCTTGATATGGTTTCTTAGGGCAAAACCTCAATTTCCAGTTTTAAGGAATGAAGGAGATAGAGATTTTGGTTTAACCCAATGCCATATAAACTTGACATGCTATATGCTCAGAAACAAGAAGAGTTGTTTGTAATTATCAGCCTTAAAATATTTTGCAGGAAAATGTATTTTTCTTTAATTTAGCCAATGAAGTCTTTTATTGCTACCTTAAACTTTTAGGATTTCTGAGAACAGTGACCTGACCCACTCCGAATCAATCTCTTGGTCAGATCTCTGGTAGATTTGACACCTTTTTATATAGTGTTGAACCTTGAGTTAAGAGGAGAAAAGAAAACAAAGTTAAATAGTTGTCACAAAGCTTGTGCAGTGATTCACAC